AATTTCTTATTTTGAAGTCTCATTTACTTTTTCAAGAAGAGTTGATCCCGAATGATTATTCCTGATTATGAAAACTAAAAGTCTTTTACTATTAATCTATATGCTATCTAAGCCACAATGAAAATTCAAAAAAAAAAAAAATGATTATTGATAATTTGCATGTAACGGCCAATCAAATTTCAAGGATTTCTGTAGATCATTCTAGAAATCGTTTCCTTATTTGGTATATTCCCTGACTGAAATGGATATTTAAATTATCAAAAAACTAAGGGTTACCATCTCGAAAAAGAGTGCGAACTTTCATGATATGTTCAAGATCTTGAATGTTTAAAACATTACTACAATGACAAATATGGATTAAATGCAAAAATCATTAATTACGTTGAGGGTAACCTTGAGATATGTGCTTCATTGAGCACTATACTGATTCTACGCAAGCGTACGTGTATGGTAACTGTACTGATTCTATGCGAGCGTATGTGTATGGTAACTGTACTGATTCTACGTGAGCGTATGTGTATGGTAACTGTACTGATTCTACGCAAGCGTACGTGTATGGTAACTGTACTGTCAAATGAGTATTGTTATGGAAAGTTTGAGGTCTGCTTATTCTAGAAGAGGAATAGGCTATGTACTTTCCTCAAAAGGTTAAATTACTGATCCATATGATACTGAAGCCATACTTCTTTTTTTTTTAGGGCAAATTACATTCATCAAATTCAGTCAAGGTATGTAAAAAATATTGCTTGCTATATATTAACAGTTATTATTTAAGGATCAAGAAATCTCATCATTAAATTGAACATGAATTAATATAATACGTTCATTGACTTCTTGATTTACAGGTTGAAAATTCCATGCAAGTAAGTATTTTCCTGTATTATTATTGATTTTCATTAACTATTGTTATGATCAGAAACGAAAGCATGGTGATCCATTAACACCCAATAAACTGGTAATTTGACTGGAAATGAAACAATTGTATCCTCATATTTCATTTATAAAAAAAGTCAAATTTACTATTGAAGAACCTGAAGATGAAAACTCGAATGAGTCAAAAAATTCAGGGGAGAAAGATATTAACAAGAATGTAGATTGGAAAAAGTGGTTAGAGAATGTTCTAGAGGTCAGTAAAATGGCTACCTATGAGAAATAATTGTCAAATGATTATACTTATTTTTTCTATTGTTTTACAATCTTCGATAGAGGAAATCAGGGTAAAAATTTTGAGTCCATACACTGCAAAAAATAAATTTAATGACACCATGATATGATACATTGAAAAGGTGTTGATGGATTTGTAAGTTGTTTTTATTTTTTTAGTATTTGCGATATTTCATTCTAATCATTCTAATCCATGTATTATAATAATAATATCAATTAATCATTAGCATCAACAAAATAATTGATGTTCTCAGACATGTTATGTCTATCGATGAAATTGAACGAGACTGGATAGTTAACAAAATATCTCTGCTATTTACATTCCTACAAGCAACCTTTACAAATAAAATACTATTCCATTGGTAAGTGCTATTTTCTTCCGTAAATTTTCACAACTTATAAAACCTATCTACTTGTGCACTCAAACCTATAGGATTGAACATAATATCGAGCCTACACATGAACGTCTTGTCGCTGAAAATAACAGTTCAAAGAAAGGAAGAATGAAAGCGGACATAGTAGGAGTTCGTCTGTCAGACGGCTGTCAGGTTGTGTTCCTAGAAATGAGCGGTGCACCAACTGACTTCTTAAACACTCATACTGTGGGAGATATGTATAAAACAGTTCAAGAAAGAATTGATTCATTAAATTCTATACTCCTAAACTTTTTGAATTATGATGTACAGTAGCGGTCATAAGTATCCGACCGCCTCTAACCCTGGCTATAAGTAAGTAAATTCAAAATTTTTTTTTTTATTTAAAAAATACATAACCAACTAACTAAAATTAATACAT